TGCAGTACCGCTCTTGTCGTCCGTGGTGTACAACCAATCTTCCGGTAAGAGGTAGCTAGGGACTTCTGCCAGTCGTTCATACTTCACAGGCCGGTACCTCAAGAAACAGTTAATGTACATTCGGGTTAATACAGAGGCGCAGCTTTCCGTCTTTTTCCACCACCCGCAAGCCATTGACGACCGTGGGGGGAGGCTCGTCGGCTGGCCATTCCCGTATCACTCCTCGGTCCAGGGCCTTTCTCAATTCGGCTGTAACAAACTCATGGTGCTGAGTCGCGCTGCGATGGTTAGGAAACTGCACGGCCCGCGGCCGGTCACCCGCCATCATAAAGTCTATGTCGCAATCCGGCGCCGCGACCCGCAGCATTTCACGCACTATAGCTAGCTTGCGTCCCCGCTCCGGGGCTAGTTCTTGCCCTGGGTAGTCGCACGACACCCACTCCAGCTGGATCCCGCCCCGCAGGTATTCTAGCCACTGTTTCTGTTTGTCCGTGAGGGGCCGGCCTTCGTTAGCTGCCTGAAAGAACGCTCGCCACACTGCAACATGTAGTCGTAACCTTCCGGGTTGGAAGTCTTCGGGGTCCGGGAGCAAACGGACGACCTCTTCGAGAAACTCCTGTTCATCCCGCGGATCTACCGCGTCCTGCTGACCCAGCCGCTGTAACCTCTGCCAGGCTTCCTGTAGCAGCTGGAGTACTTCCCTGCCCGCGGCGTTGTGGGCACTCCCTTCCCGGGCCGGTGCTAGTCCTACGCCTCTGGATTCCCACCCTGTCGGCTGGTCACTCACCCACTGGTCGTCTTCGCAAGGGTCATCTTCCAACGACACCAACTCGGTCGGATCCCTTCCGTCGCCATCCTGAGTGTCTGCCGGGTAACCCACGTCAGGTTTCCTGTCATCGTCCCTTGCCGTTCCCTGCGTGCTCTCAGTCGACCTGGTTAGCAAAGGCCTCTGGGCTTGGGTCTCCTTGCGCATCGCTTCATTGCGGCTAACCAGGGCGTCCACCAGCTGCGTCACTTGCTCTGCCTCCGTTGCCGGGTGTTTAAACCGGCAGGGCTGCCCCGTCTGCGCCCGGGCACAGCGCCCGTTCCACGCGTGGCTAATGCAGAGTTTGCTGCCATCTACGTTGCCTCGGTACGCAATCTCCGAGATTGACCCAGCGCCCACTCCCTGGAATCCCCGTCGGTCTAGCTCCTGATTTACCGCTGCCACCACGCTAGCAGGTGGACTCAGGCGCTGCACTCCGCGGCCCCCGGCGTGAGGCGCTCCCAGCCCCGCGTCCCGAGGGGGGGCCTGAAAGCCCCCACCCACTTGTCCCCAACCCGCGGTCCTCTGCTCTGGGCGGCCGGGGCCCCCCGGTGNCCGCCCTTCCCCTGCTGCGCCGGGGCCCCACAACAGCCTGCGGTCGCCACCGTCCCCTCCCCCGTGCTTCAGGATATTCTCCGCCATCTTGTCATGACCATCGTGGATTTTCTGGGCCGCGCGCATCAACAGGATCACGGCCGGCCAGGCGCGCTCCTTCATCTCCAGAAACGTCGGCGTGCTCACGTTCACGGCCTGTAGTGCGCCCTCCAACCAGTGCAGCCGTGCATCACGAGCCCGCAACTTCAATGTCGCCAGACTCGTCTCCACCCAGCCCCACTGTACCAGGTGTCCCGTTACCTGCCCTACAAAGCGCTCCTTCGAGGCCTGCTTGGCCTGCTGACCTATAAACTTTAGCACTCCGCGACGATGCGGCTCTATTGCACCACTAAAGCACGCACGCAGCTCCGTGACCAGCCCTGGGCCCACATTGGCCAAAGCGTCTACAACCGCCTCTTCCGCCTGCTCCAGCATCGCCGATACCGCGGATTTCACCACCCGCAGCCCGCATGGGCCTTCCGTCATTGCCCCAGCCTGGGTCATGACGGTCGCCCACCGCTGGGTGTTGGGGACGCGGTCCGACTCCCCGAGATTCAGCGCCTTCCGAGCGGCCCTAAGTGCCTCCTTACGGCGGCGGTGAGCCTCCTGGACGTCCTTTTCTGTGACGACACTGTAAACTGCGAGCTGCCCCTCCGGGCCAGCAGCGGCCACCTGGTGCATTGTTCCTGCCCCCGCGTTGCTGGGCTGCTTTCCTCGAGGCCCCACGTTCGGCCCCTCGTCCAACTGCTGCTGCTCCCCCTCTCCCTCTTCCTGGAGTTCTTCGCGCAGCAGTTGCTTCCAGCCTTCCATGCCGTACCGCCTGATATACCGCGCCACGATCCGCCTCTCTTCACGCTCCGGGTCTCCCTGGCCCTGTCTTGAGTCCCGTGGTACTTCTTCCCCGGCAAATTCAGTCCGCGCCTCCGACGGCGGCCTCACTCGTACCGGTCCGTGCAACGGTAGCCGCGTCACCGCCACGCGCTTTGGGGATGGGGCCACGACTCCAAGTCCTCGCGTACGGAGCCGCTTACCCTTGCTTCGCCTATTCGCCTTCGCCGATGAAGCCTCTTTGCGGGCGTCGTCGCTGTCTGACGACTCTTCCTGTCCCTCCTCTGAGCCTTCCTTGTCCCTTTCCTGTACGCGGTTCCATTGCGTCGTGAAGGCATTCTCTGGGTCAAGGCTAACGGCCTCAGGCAACCCAACCTGGGTATTCGCTAAGCGAGGGCAACCACCCTTAGTGCTGGCCTTCCAGAAGCGGATCCATGCAGGCGGGTTCAAGGTAATCCAACCCTGCGCGGGAGCATGCCCCTGTGGCGGGCCTGCCGGGTTGCTTGCGACCAAACCTACCGGCCTAAGGCA